GGGCATGGTCTGCAGCTCGAGAGGGATATCCCAGACCATATAGGAGGTTTACAGATTTATAGGTTTATTCTGACCCTACAGATACTAGTAGGGCACGTGGGTGGGCACGGTCTGCAGCTCGAGAGGGATATCCCAGACCATACAGGAGGTTTATAGGTTTATTCTGACCCTACAGGTATTTGTAGGGCACACGGGCGGGCACGGTCTGCAGCTCGAGGCGCACGGGGCACTTGTAGAAGTGGCCCAGCAGGGTCTCGGTGTAGCCCTGCAGGAAGTAGAGCTTGTGGGGTGGCAGTGCCCGGCTCAGCAGGGCGCAGATGACCAGCAGGTTCCCCCGGCGCTTGAGCACGGCCTGGTCGGCCATGAGCCCTGGGAAGGTGCCGTGCAGGAAGCGCCGCAGGAACGCGTCCTCCACCGCGCGCTGCGCCGCGCCCGCCCCGCCACACAGGTTCCCTGGGGACAGGGACAGGGACATGGCGCTGGCACCGCGGGCACAAAGCATGCGGGGCCGGCCTGGGCACAAGGGACACGGGGGTCCCATCCCTGGGATGTCCCAATGGCCCAGCCCCGGGATGTCCCAGCCCTGGGATGTCCCAGTGGCCCTGTCCTAAAACACTCCCATGTCCCATCCCCAGGATGCCCCCGTGTCCCATCCCTGGGATGTCCCAGTGGCCCTGTCCTAAAACAGGACTCCCATGGCCCATCCCCGGGATGTCCCAATGTCCCATCCCCAGGATGTCCCTGTGTCCCATCCCCATGATGGCTGTGTGCCCTGCATGTCCCTGTCCTCACCATCCCCAGATGTCCTCTGTGTCCCCATCCTCACACGTCCCTATGTCCCCGTCCCAAAACACCCCTGTGTCCCATCCCCAGGATGTCCCTGTGTCCCTCATGTCCCCTGTCCTCACCATCCACACATGTCCCATTTGTCCCCATCCTCACATGTCCCCAGCCTCACATGTCCCCATGTCCCAAAACACCCCTGTGTCCCATCCCTAGGACACCCCTGTGCTCCACACCCTCCTGTCCCTGTGTCCACACCATGTCCCTGTGTCCCAGGTGTCCCCATGTCCCCATCCCCAGGATGCCCCTGAGCCCCACATCCTTCTGCTCACACCGTGTCTGTGCC